ACGTGCACTGTAATTTGTATACACATAGGTACACTAAAAGGGATAAATACAATCTCAACCCGCAAGGGCCCCGACGAGCGTGTTATTGGTACACACGTGATGTCTAGGGATGCTGCGCGGGTTATTAAATTTGAACCCGATCCTTCTAAGTAGAAAAAAGGAGTCGACAGGGTTTAATTATAAAATACCCCCAAACCCGCATGGGCCTCAGCGAGCGTGTTATTGGTACACATGTGACGACGTCTAGGGATGCTGCGCGGGTTGACAAGTGAATTCAAGTTCGAACCCGATCCTTCTATATAGATCAATAGGAGTCAACAAGGTTCAAACCAACAAACAAATATGTGGCCGTGACGACCAGAATATTTGTTTTAATAAATTGATATTAGGCCTTCAAAGCCTATAATAATAAGAATTCACTAACAAAGGCATAAAATTTATGAAACCCGATCCTCTATCGACATCCAGACATAGTTGACAAGGTTCAAACTACAAATGTAAATGCCCCCAAACACCCCGATGATGGCCGTGTTAATTGAAGATCTCAACCAAAGGGGTCTATTCCAAACACTTTCAAACTCCACCTAAAATATCCATAAAAATCAAAAAATATAAAACTCCACAAAAATTCCAAAATCCCAAAGATATTTAAAATTTGAAATCCAATCATCAAACGCTTAAAGCAAAATCCATCCACCCTCCGCAACAGTTTGCCGAGGTGGACAAATCAAAATTTACCTCAGCTCACAAAAGAGCTAAATGCCTAGTATAAAATATTACTATGATCCATTCTCAAAAAGTCTCCTGCCAATAAGGACGTGGTATGTGTCCTCTAACCGGCAGTTTGCCATCAAATGGCACCGCAGGATAAACGGTTATGACCTGGGGCCCTCTGAACCGAGTGATTTTGCCGCCAAATGGCACCACGAAATACCAGTTATGGCCAGCGCCAATACGCTCCTTATTGGCATCAAATCCTTGAGATATGAATCAATAGGATATGATCGATACGGCACAAAGCCCTCTGTTAGCTAAGGTGGATTCAAATTTGTCCCCTTAGACAAATATTCACCCCCGGTCTATGAGGTACCCTTGAACGAAGCAACCCATGGCTGCCGACAAGGATCCTTCTATCAAGTTGGGTCGACTACCTCCTCTGACTAAGTAGACCAGGGACCACGATGGCCCGGGACGACGGAACCATGGGATCTTGATCGGGCCCATCATCCATTCCCCCACCATCCGCTTTAAGTAAAGGATGGTGAAATTTCTATTTTAAATATTAAATCTTTTCAAATATCCAAACTTCCCAAATAACCAAATCCAAACCCAATTTCCAATTTCCAAACCCTATGCTGCTACTATATGCCAGATAACACGTATTCTTTATACGTATTTGATTAACGATTAGCCTTAATCGAAAGTTCTCTCTCGTGATCGGGAGGGGTAATTAACTATAGGGGCTTGTGCCTATAGGAAACCAGAACTCAGAACATAAAGTCCTCACAAAATGAGGGCGAAATCTCTGGGTAGTGTCTTATCTACAAACCCATCTGCCTTCCAAAATTTACCTCGGAACTTATTCAGTTAAAACTCCCTCGCCGAATAAAAAAGAAAAGCGCACGGAGGCCGGGGTCGAATTTTCGGAGCCCACACCTATACTGAGACCAATCATCTTCTCAAAGCCCTCGATCGTCGAATTTTTAATCTAATCGGGCGAATTTGAAAGGCAAATGCCTCCTAACGTCCCCTCACGGGGGAGAAATTATGACGTATGGAGTCCATACGGGTAGAACCGTCCATATTTTCTGAGTAGAACTATCCAGATTTTCTAAGTATAAATACTCAGCAAACACTCAGAAAATACACAATAAATCAACAAATACTTACAAAATACTCAACAAATACTTAACAAATTCGTACGGTTCTCCCCGTTTCGACTCTGCATGTAATAATTTCTTCCCATAAGGAGGATACGTTGGAAGGTTGCTGAAATTTTGAACGATAGAGGACCCTCACATAATTATGGTTGTGATTGAATGATATACAAATATCTCTTAAAACTCGTATTTAAATCATGTACTTCATCAATCATATAATATCATTGCTCATATCCAATGCTAGAAGATAAGAGATAGAAGGTCGTGGTGGATATTAGTGCCTGTTAGCAATGATGGAAGATGTGTCATATGCACAGTAATGTATATAGGCAGGTGATGATCAATAGGGTGTGGATGTTACAACACCCCTATAATAAATCGCCACTCAGTGGTTGACAAATACAACGATCCACTGCTACAAAGATGGATAACGTGCACCAAATACAAGCTCCTACAAGTTGTTGTAAAAAAACCTTTTTGTATCTAATATAATGTTCTACTAGTAAAGATGTGCGACATGCAATGAGAGTAGATGCCTATGAGCTGTTACAATAGACATATCGTGCACTCAGCATATCATCTACATGCAAATACATAAGGGCTACAAAAAAAACAACAGCTTCTATGAGCTGACATAAAAGACCCGTTATATATCCAAAAATGCCACCAAACACTTACATGGGCCCCGACGAGCGTGTTATGGGCACACACGTGACGTCTGGGGATGTTGCGCGGGTTAGACAATAAACCCAAGTTCGAGCCCGATCCTTCTATGTGGGTATATAGGAGTCGACACAGCTCGAATCATTAAACAAATATGCAGTCGCAGCGTCGACCGGAATATTTGTTTTATAGTTTATGTTAGGCCTCCAAGGCCCTTAATAAGGAAAATTCATCAACAAAAGTATAAAAGCATACAACTGACTTGAATTCGATCCTTTGTCAGCAACTAACAGAGTCGACAGGGTTCAGTAATAAAATGTGATTCTCCATAATTACCCTAATGATGGCCGTGTTGAACATAGATCTCAACCAAAGAGGTTAATTCCAAATACTCTACACATTCAAAAACTTCCCAAATACCTGCAAAATTCAAAACTCAAAATTCAAAGAAATTTCAAATTCAAAATATTTAAAATCGAAATCAATCACCAAAACTTTTAAATTAAAATTCATACATCCTTTGCAACAGTTTGTCGAGGTAGACAAATCTGAAAATACACTCAGCTCATAAAGAGCTAGTGTCTGGTCGAGAATATCACTAGGATTCATTCTCAAACAGCCTCTTGCCAACAAGGATGTGGCACGTGTCATCTAACCTGCAGTTTTGCCGCCAAACAGCACCACAGGTAAACGGTTATGACCAAGGCCCTCTAAATTAGGTGGTTTGCCACCAAACAGCGCCACTAAATTACGGTTATGGCTAGAGCCCGTAAGCTCCTCAATGACATCAAATCCTTGATAAATGAATCAATAGGATATAATCGATAGGGCACAAAACCCTCTGTTAGCTAAGGTGAATTCAAATTTGTTCCCTTAAACTGCTAGGTCTACAAGGTACCCTTGGACGACGCAAGCCATAACTGCTAACAAGGATCTTTCTATTAGGTTGGGTCGACTACCTCCTCTGACTAAGTAAACCAGAGACCACAATGGCCTAGGACGACGGAACCATACTTTCTTGATCGGGTCCATCATCCATTCCTCCACCATCCGCTTTAAGTGCAGGATGGTGAAATTTCTATTTTAAATATCAAATTTTCAAATATTCAAACTCATGTTGCTACTATATGCTAAATAACGCATATTTTCTACGTATCAGATTAACGACTAGCCTTAATCTAAAGTTCTCTCTCATTATCGGGAGGGGTAATTAACTATAAAGGCTTGCGCCTATAGGAAACCAGAACTCAAATTATAAAGTCCTTACAATATTAGGGTGAAATCTCTGGGTAGTGTCTAATCTACAAACCCAATCTGTCTTCCTAATTTTTTTCCCAGAACTAAATCCACTAAAACTCCACCGAAAGCACAGGGAGGCCGAGGCCTGAATTTTCAGAGCCCACAAAGTAACAACTAAAGAAAGAGAAGATAAAGGTTGGGGTATGGTGGAGGTGATAAGTCTTTTAGACTCTTAAAATTAATTAATTGATGATAAAAGAAAATGCACAATAAGGAGTAAAATTAAATAAAATATTCAATAATTATAGTGAATTTGAAGTATTTTCCTCATTATCATAAAGATGTAATCCACATATACAATGATCACCTGTCCACTTCAAAATAAATTGGATTTTGCATGTAAAATCCCTCCTCATATTTGTTATCAATTTCTGAATTCCTTATCATTCTCTTCGATATATTTAAAAATTTTCCCATTGACTTAAGCTTGAACAGCATTTGCATAGACTAAGAAAAGGAGGAAGATCTAGTATTTTACTCACATAAACTCTAGTATACCATCCAATGTCGGTTATCTTGCATGTATTGTTTTTTATTACCTATAAAGCCTCTTTAATAAATTAAAAATGCCCTCCCTCCTTACCTCCCTCAAAAATATAACGCAAACAATCATAACATACTTTAATTTTCACTTATTTAGTGTCATCCTTCAAACACATACAACCTCTTTCTCACTCACTCACCCTTTACCAATACCCCTCCAGTCATCCCATACAAAATCCCCTCTATACTCCTTCGAATGTAGCTCCCTCTATCCCTCAATGCAACTAATGCCCTTTCCCTCCACATCGCAGCATCTCTCCTGTGATGAGAAGGTAATTTCCTCAAAAGAAGAAATTGAATTAAATATTTAAAAGTCAAGATAGGCTAATGATGATGATATTCTAATAAAACATGGGCCTTTGGACTAACACAATTAGGACTAAAAAATTGGACTTAATTTTAATTTGTCCTATGTTGAATACACCGGCCCTAGTATGGTGGTTAGGATGCAGGTTTTAAGAAGACCCAAACCTTCACCAACAAATTGACCAAAATATAAGGAAAATTACCAAGTTATATGTACTTGCGCTAGTAAAAATGAAACAAGGCGACGTTATGGCTATGAGCTAATACTTTCCAATAAAACAAATAACCAAACTTAGCATAGGATCATACCTATTTATAGAACATTCAATGTTGGTTGCATCCGAGGATGCAACTTTTGGTTCAGTCATAGCAAATCCGGATCGTATTCTTCCTTCTAGAAGAGGAATAAGCCACTCTTTCTGTTGATCCTTAGTTCCATATCGCAATAGTACCTAACATAATAAACTAGTGACATATTGATTCGATGAAACTTTATAAGCGAAAGTCATAATATTTATTAAAAAAAAAATAAAAACACTGTACAACACTTGACAGAAGAAAGCAAACGATATTTCAGAAACTGCAGACGCTTAAAGAATTTATTAATAGTTAAATGGATCAACTCAACTATCCCTTCTAACACCTGGCACTCTAAACTACTCCAGAGCATCGAGAAGGATGTGCTAACTGACATATCCAATTTAAATTTCAAAAATGAATTGTTAGATACGCATATTTAAAAGCCATGCCCTCTTCAAAAAAAATCACAAAATAGTAACAAACTTCTAAAAAAAAAATACAAATAGAGATTACAATTTTACCACACGTTACTTTCTTGGTGGTCATTCTAACTTCAGATGCACGCATTTATATAATATCATTTCAATGTATTACTCTGATGATATTTTTGTTTATGTTTGCATGTGTCTGCAAGCATAAATAGATGGTTGCGTTTATAAATAAATATAATTATTAACATTGTGCAAATTAATATATTCCCTTTCCCCATAGACATATATACACATTATTCTAACATAAGCATACCCTACTTTTCAAGACTTATCATGTCCCCAAGTCTGGTATCTACATATGAAAGTAATAGCTCCTGCATACATATCTTTAATGATTTGAATAAAAGCATTATCAACTCCTTTCTTTTGAAGAACTCTCCATAACACTTCTCTTGGAACTTTATCATATGCTTTTTCTAAATCAATAAATATCATATGTAGATCCTCCTTATTTTCTCTATATTTCTCCATCAAACCTCTTAATAAATGTATGGCTTCCATAGTCGACCTACCCGGCATGAATCCAAATTGATTTTGAGAAACATTAGTATCACGCCGCAACCTATGCTCCATAACTCGCTCCCATAGTTTTGAAGTATGACACATTAACTTAATTCCTCTATAATTCGCACAATCTTGTGCATCACCTCCATGATCCCTAATGAACAAAGTAATTATTTATCACTAAATAAAGAAGGGAAAAACATATCTATAGTTGTTACGTTTAATCACGATCTTAGCCACGATCATCAACCTCATCAGCTTATAGATATGTTTTTCCCTTTTATAAGACATCTTTTATATATATATACCTTTCATTTTATTTAGGAGAAAAAAATACCTAACTCTCATTTTTCTATACAAAACATCATCAGCACATAAATTCTCTGCTCTTATAAATCTAATTCATAAAATTAATTTAAAATTTTATAGAATTAAAATCATATAAACACGATAACTTTGCTCTCCCTCCTCTCTATATATAAATACTGCTAATTATTTTAATTTAATAATGGATGCGACATTATAATATGATAATTATTACTTTATATTGAAAAATAAATAAATTTCCTTTATTTTGACATTTTAAATTTATTCCTATGATTAAAAATTTAACTTCTTCTAAAATAATTAATTAATTAGTTTAAATTCTAATATATATTAACCTTTTTCAATACAATTATTGTTTTAATAGCTTTCTCTCTCTTTTAACTCTAACTCCTGTGTAACAAATTTCAAAAATTTAAAACAAAACTTGAAGATTTATTTATATATGTTTTAAACAGAGAGGTGCTTATTTTCAATGGTTATATATTTTCTTTAAATGAATTTCAGAGTTTTAGTAGCACTTTCAGTATGTTGTAAATAGGTTGTTAATAATAATGTCAGCGAACAAAAAATTTAAATATCCATTTGATCATCTATTTCTGCCTCACTAATTCAAGCCTTTGAACTAGGTCGCGATAATAGCAAACCTCAATCCATTAGACTTCTAATCGATGCACATCAATAAGGAAAAAACAAGAACTTAATTGTTGCATCTTCCAACCCGCTCTAACATGTGAGCTCTTCCTCCTATGCAACCTCTAGTCGATCCCTGCCCTATGGAACTAACTTTCTCTTATTAGCATTCTACAAATTGCAAGGGCATATCGACCCGCATCTCCTATTCCCTTAATTGATGTGAATTTGACCATGACCGCATCCACTGCCTTAACCATTTATTTCACATGCCACAACTAATCTCAACCTAGTTGCCAAATTGTGGTCTCCGAAAATTCACGCCCTGGCCTCTCTGCGCCCCCTTCCTTTTTTTTTTTTTTGGGTCGTCGAAGAGAGTATGTTCCGAGGAAAATTTTAAGAAGGCAGATTGGTTTAAATAAGACACTACCTAGAGATATCAACCTTATTTTGCGAGGATTTTATGACGTGAATTCTGGTTTCCAATAGATGCTAGCCCCTTTAGTTAATTACCCCTCCTGATAACCAGAGAGAGCTTTCCATTAAGGCTAGTTGTAAAAAAAATGTGGTATTTGGCGTATAGTAGCATCATGATTTAGATATTTGGGAATTTAATAATTAAAAATAAAAATTTATCACCTTGCACTTAAAGAGAATGGTGGGGGGAATAATGAAAGACCCGATCAAGATCCCATGGTTCCATCGTCACGGGTCATCATGGTCCCTGATCTACTTAGTCAAAGGAGGTAGTCAACTCAACCTGACAAAAGGATCACTGTCGGTAGTTATGGGTTGCTTCGTCAAAGGGAACCTTGTAGGCCTTGGGTGGATATTTATCTATGGGGATAAATTTGAATCCACCTTAGCTAACAGAGGGCTTTGTGCCCTATTGGTCATATCATATTGATTCATTACTCAAATATTTAGCGTCATTGGGGAACATATAAGTTTTAATCATGACTATAATATAATGGTGTCATTTGACGGCAAAACCACCTGGTTAGAGGATCCTGGTCATAAATGTTTACATGTTATGCCATTTAGCAGCAAAACCACCAGTTAAAGAACATATGACACGTCCTTACTAGCAATAGATGATTTGAGAATGAATCCTTGTGATATTCTCAACTAGACATTTGTTATTTATGAGTTGAAGTAATTTTTAATTTATCTATCTTGACAAACTATTGTGGAGGGTGAATGGATTTTACTTTAAGAGTTTAGATGTTTTTATTTCAATTTTAAATATTTAGGTTCTGTGATTTTTTATTTTTGAATTTTTCATGAGAATTTGAGAGGCATTTTTAATGTTTATAGTCCCATCCGGTTGAGATTTTCTGTCAACACGATCATCATCAAGGTTTATGGGTTATTTTATTTTTATTGATTGAACCTTGTCGACTTTGACTATTTGCAGACAGATGATTGAGTTTGAATCTAAATTTATTTCTTAACCCGTGCAGTATCCTCAGACGTCACGTGTATCTATAACATGCTCATCGAGGCCATATGGATATATGATGTCACATGTATTTTTATGATGCATTTATATGATTGTTATACATATGCAGTGGATATATGCGATACATCTGCATGTATCATGTATATTGGCCTATGTATTTTGCATTTACACAATATGTAGTTGCACTGTGCAGTATTTTTTACATGTAAATGAAATATTGTATGATATACTTGAATGAAACTCTCTGCATCTTGCAAATACGTGCAGGAGGGCACTCGGCTATGCATGTATAGCAAATTTGCATTTAAATGTAATATTGAATGACATGCTTGAATGAAACCCTCTGCATATTACAAATGCATACATGAGGTCGTTTTAAAATGCAATTATAATGTCAGATGTCATGCTTGAATGAAACCCTCTGCATCCTACAAATGCATGCAGGAGATCATTTTAAAATGCAATTAAAATATCGACATGCTTGAATGAAACCCTTTGCATCCTATAAATGCATGCATGAGATAATTTTAAAATACAATTACAATGTAGGATGACATGCTTGAATGAAACTCTCTACAACCTACAAACGCATGCAAGAGGTCATCTTAAAATGCAATTAAAATATCAGATGATATGCTTGAATGAAACCCTCTACATCCCCCACCTTCAGCTTGCCACAAAGTGGTTTCCTCAAAGCACGAACATGATAGAGCACAAGATAGTTTTTAGTATTCCAGAGATATTCTAATATCTAATGTGCGCGTGGAACATGGAATTTTCTCCCACGACTCTTAATATCGTACTAGAAATGTCGTACTAGAAATGGTGTATGTGTGATTATAAATAAGAGTTTGAAAGATAATGTCATTAATATTAACAGAATTGGAGATAGAATTATAGCTTTAAAGATTGTTGTTGATGCTAAGATTGTTACTATTATAAGTGTGTATGATCCTCAAATAGGTTTGTATATGTTTGAAATTAAAATTTTGGAAAGATTTAGAAGAATTAAAACAAAAGATACTCCTTGAAGAAAAAAAATTTATTGGAGGAGATTTAAATTGGACATGTTGGTAGAGAGGTAGATGATTTTAAAAGCATTCATGGTGGTCATGAGTTTGGAACGACAAACGAAGATGGTAAGATCATATTAAATTTTTCTTTAGCTTATAATTTTTTAATAGCTAATACCTTATTTAAGAAAAGAGATGAGCATCTTATCACTTATAAAAATGGATATAGTAAAACGCATATTTATTATTTTTTTTATAAAAAAATTAAATCGTTTAGATTGCAAATATTATAAAGTTATTCCGAGTGAAAATTTATGTACCCAACATCGATTATTAGTTTTGAAATTTAAGATAAAGGGACATAAACTAAAAAATAAAGTAAAATAACTTTCTATGATTATATGGGGGCATTTAAAGAATATTAAGAAAAGTATTTTTGATAGTAAGATTTTAGATCTTAAGATTTTATCAGTGCATGATGATGCTAATGTTATGTGGAAAAAAGTCGCTAGTGATATTAAGAATATTGTTAAAGAAGTGTTTGGAGTTTTAAAGGGAAAAGCTCCTAATAGTAAAAATAGTTGGTGGTGGAATCCAAATGTGCAAGAAAAGATAAAAAATAAAAATATTTGTTATAAAAATTAGTTTAGATATAAAAATTCTGATAATTAGGAAAGCTATAAAGAGACTCGTAAGGATTCTAAGAAAGTTATTTACTATGCAAA